GTGAACCACAGCCATCCCCATTATAGAGAATAGGCCATCCCTGACATTGATGTTTTTTTGGATCTGGTTGCTGTCATGTCTTGACAGCTCTGTAGTAGGAACAAAAGGCCCATCAGACCAGAGATGACTTGTAAACAATGAAGAAGATTCATTTGCCACCCTGCCATATCTGACAGCTTAAAAAGCCAAGGCCACGTTACCTGTGGTGTCTGACAAAGTGCCAGCTGCATCCTTATGGAAATGTGCAAGAAAATGTTTTAAGAACTGAATTGGGCTTCTCATTAACTCTCAGGGTTTTGCTGGCTCCTTAGGAGAATCAGTAGAACAATGCCCTTCTCATGAGGATGCTGCCGTATCAAAAGGGACAGTAAAATCTCAGCATCTCTTGCAAATTCAAAATGCTTATTTTAAAAAAACCATTTTATTCTAATTTACGTTCTCAGTGTTTTCAGTGGTTTTGACATCTTCAGCATTAAATCAGAGGCTGAATACTGTAATTTTTCCTGTTTTCCCGGTAAGAACTTGATTACTGAAAATCAATGCATTAACAACCTAACAGTGAAATCAAAATGAATTAGAGTAGCATTATCTAAACCAAATTATATTATATTAGTACTGTGTGATGTTCTTTTAACTGATGACAATGATTTATTTCTACTTAGATGAATGATGAAACTAATCAGTGAATTGTTGGATAGATGCTTTGTTAAATTAGTCCCATATTCAATTGGGAGTCTTTAATCTATTGCTTTGTGTGCTTATTTGTCATTGAATTTGCAGTGGGATGTGCAGGTTCTTCTTTCGTTTACATGAATACATACTAGAACATCTTCATGGATTATCAGTGGAGTATCATTGCTTTAAACCAAGGAAAATGAGACAATAGGGCCTTTCCATCTGGTTTTGTTTGGAGACCCTTTTAAAAAAATTATTTGGACCTCCTTTTTAAAATTATTTGAAATTACTTTTAAAGGGAATTCAGCCTGCTTATATCCAATGTACAAGGTGGCTTTAGTTAACAGTATTTGCTAATTCTGTGGTAATGATTGCTTGAAAATGGTGATGAGTTGGTAATTTATTTTTACATTTTCTCTGTTACACTAGATGTACTGATACTGTGCTACTTTTTTCTAGTCCACCCACAAGACTCTGGCTGTTCGTTAAAATTTTACAAATGAAGAAAATAACAAATGTGTTGACAATGAAAATAACAGTTTCAGGAAACTAGTATTGATGGAAATGCTTTTGTTAAAACTTTACAGTCAAAGACAGCACTTGTTAGACCAGCTTACAGTTCTAAGTAAAAAACAACTTGAGCTTTTTGTGAGTATTTAGCATAAATGAGAGCTGGGTGGTCTCCACAATGTGAGAATTTATATGCTATTAACTATCAACTGACAATTTGCCTAGCAAACAGTTACGCTGTGAGAGATAAAGAAGGAAAGCATGAGAAGGTTTTTGCAAGTCCTGTGAAATATATTTTGCTGGTAATAAAAACCTAGAAGCAAACTTCGGTGTACTATATAGTATTATCTCCAAATAGCACCATCACCTTAAAAATATAACACTCTTGATTTGAAAATTGTTGACATTACATGTAATACCTAAGTCTATGTTACTAAAAGTAAAACTGTTTTAATTCTGGAGCAAGCTGTAACATTCTTCTACCATCAACATCAACCCCAACATAGCATTCAAAAAATCTGAAGGCAGATCACCCACACCATGAAGATAGCGTAAGATCACTTGGCATGAGGAAACAAATCATTCTTGGAGTCCATCTTTGATATTTTTTTACTCTTAGAGGAAAAAAATAACTCCAGGTTTTGATAATTAATTAAATAATAAATATTAAATTCAACCTGACAAGCCAGCAGTAGGAACAGCTAGAGGATGCAGGGAAACATCATGAAAGCCCACTAGTGATGTGGAAAGCTTAGGGCTGGGACTATCTTTCTGTTAATCGTGTTGCAATTTTCCTTAAGCTGTTTGTACCACCTGTTTTGGGCAGCCTAAAGGAAGGAATGAGCTGAATGCTTATGGGAAGTTACAGAACAAACCCCAAAGCTTTTTAGCTTTGAAGAACTTCTGAGTGCCCTTATTTGTGCTATCTGTCCCATGAGTGTCCTTTGGATGTGGAGGGGAGGAAAGTGTGCCATTGCATTAACATCCCTGCAGTGGGTTGGTTATGCTGCTAACTAGATTACAGGATAATGATTTCCTAAATTGCAAAGCCCAGAAGTCTCTTCCTTTGAAAGAGGGAAGAAAGAAATACCTTTTGTAGCAAGAAAAAGGAGCCATATGTTTCATAGTCACTGATGGGCAACACTTGAGTTTAAGACTTGTGTGATTTGTGTATAACCAGGCAGTTTGTTTGGATGGAGGGGCTCAAGGCAGACTTCCTGAAATGCCCCTGCAGTCTCAACAATAATAAAGATCTGTGATGTAAATGTTTGAAGAAAAGTCATGTACAAGATAACAAATGTAGGTTTCTCCCAGGTCATCCTAAGCAGTTACTCTTTATTAAGCTCAAAGCAGCTAAAATCCCACCAAGCAGCAGGGACACTTAATTCTTAGGCCTTTACACCACCCCCGACCCCGTTCCACCCTGTTATGGTACTGAAACTAGGTCTTCAGCATAATGTCTGTAGAGAGTTTGTAAGTATGGTCTTCTGGAAAATGCATCCATTGGACATTTTAAAATAAGTGGTGGTGTGTAGACTCTGTCCCATGTCTGTGCCATGTCCTGAATTTTCAGTGCTTTGCTCGGGGAGGCAAACACTTCTGTGGGCTCTTGTGGGTATGGTGGCTTTTCACAGAAGACTGTTCAGCTTGGTTTTCCTCCTATGTCCATAGAGTAAGTGGATTTCTTCACAGGTTAGGCAGAGGGACAATCACGGTGGTGATTATATCTGCCTCTTGTACTTTCCTTCAAATTGCCCTGGCAGCCCTCATCCTGTTCTTTTGTTTCCTGGACTCTCTGAAGGGCAAGAGTTTCAAAACTTCATATGCTTTTGGAAACAAAAGTATGTATGCAAATGACAACTAAAATTATCATCTCTGAGCATAACAGAATATAAGCCTCCCTTGAAGGACAGAAAATCATTTCAAGCAGTAGCAAAGGCTGTTTGCAACTCACAGAATTTTGAAGCATTTAGTAACTCCTAAATGTTTATTTTTGGGGTCTGTAAGCCACTCAACATGTACTAAAGCAACAGAATTTATGTGACAGAATGTCCACAACTCTTAAAAGCAATAGTTAATGGCTGCTGCCTTTGTCTGTGATTTGTCACAGCCTTGCCTGTGTATAACTATCTGTCTTTGAAGGAGCCTTGATATACCTTGAATAAGAAAGATACTGTTATTTATAAAACATCCTCCCCTACATTTCCTCTGATTCCCATCCCCTCCATCCCCCATGTAGTGAGTATGTGAGCTCTTGTTTGGTCAGGGTCACCTCAGAGATGAGATGGCCTTTGAATTTGTATGTATTATTTAATAACTGTGTAAATTAAAAAATATTATTGAGAAGGCAAATGCAGTACAAGAATGCAGCTGCATACTTAGTATTGCTCTGCTGTGCTATCACTGGGTTCCTACCAGTGGCTAGGCCTCAGGAAACTAAAATTTTTTCTGCTTTAGTGTATCTTAATCCAGAGTTAGGATAAACGAAATGCTTTAATGTTTTCCATTAGAAAGCAGGTTGTGGCTCTTCACTAGCTGAATGGAATCTAGTTTTCTGAGAAAAGAAGATAAAGCATATAAAACTAAGGAAGAAAAGAAATAAGACAGTAGAAATAAGTTTTAGCAAATATAAACATTGTGGTGTAATGCTGTGTCTGTTTTCTGGACCATGTACATCGTTGCAATGCCTCGTGAATAAATGATGCAGTGTTAGATGTTGCTCTGTACATGTAAGTGAGGACAAGTGCTGCTGCTGTTCTACCTTGTCCTCCTGGAGAGGAGAATTGTTTTGCGATGCTGCATCCCGTCGCTGTGGCATCTGCATTCTCAGAGGTCTAGTGCAATAAATTCTGTCTCTACTGCAAAGTCAGTTTTTGACAGGTTTGATAAATAAAAAATCCCTGCACCATTTTTTTGCATGAGGACAATATGAACTCTTGTATTGTAGACTAATTCCATTCCGTAACTAAATCATGCTGCTTTAAATTCACATGTCTTTTCACCATCCTTTGGGGTTTTTTTTACATGCTGGGCTGTGCTGCTGCACTGTGTACTGTTTAAGTGACTGTCTTGACCTCACTAAAGGTGAATGACTTGGGGCTGACAGGAAGATATTCCACTCCTAGGTTTGAGATCCTCTGGAATGAAGAAGACTATATGGATCTAATTTATTACTGTGTTTGATGCATAGGATAGCATGACAATTTGACCTTGTACTTTTATGCCCTGCTAAGCAGCTACAAGAGCTTCTTAGTTAAAATGGTCCCTTTATGATTGTAAGTTATTATGTGCCTGGGGAGCTGAGTGTGTAAAGAGCTGCTGTCAGGCTTCAGAGTGACTTGTCTCAGCGACACAACCATGGAGGGAGCCAGGGTGACTCCTGATTTCCAGTGCCCTTCTGTCATCACCTCATTCCTTGTTCCTTCCAGTTGTCTATTGTGTATCAGCTCAGGAAGCTCACTTTCATGGATTTTGTTTTTTATTTTTTTCTTGGTTGTCTTATTTCCCGTGTCCTTGCAGCTTGGCTAGAAGTCTCCTTCTGAACTGACCTCCTGACTTGGTCAGTATCTGCATCAGGACTTTAGGCAGTTTTGATTTTGCAGAGATGTTATCTTCTGCATCATGTTTGTTGTGTCTTGGTTTGGCAAGTGGGGATAAGACCTGTCCTAAATCTACTTACCAGCTAATTTCTGTACTTTTTTTTTCCCCCTAGGTCCTAATTCTTTCATCACTATGCCAGCTCCCTGGATTCTCCAGGAGCAGCTACAAAGATATGTGTGTTCTCTGTAAAACCAGTCCTTGTTTTGTGTTGCTAGGCTACTCCCTTCCAGCTGCCACTGAAGAAATGCTCCGTGGTGGGAAACGGTGGGATCCTGAAAAAGAGCAGCTGCGGCAAACAAATAGATCAAGCAGATTTTGTCATGCGGTAAGACAGAAACCTCAATGACACATTGTCTCCCCCTCCCCCTGCTAAGTCTTGGAATTTCAAAGCTATTCAGTTGAGATTAATTAATTGCAATTTGCCTTGTGTAGTGAGGGGGGCAGTCTGCGGATGGATGGGTTAAGGTTGTGACAGATTGTGCAGTGTCAGAGAGGGACAGAAAGAGCTGGTTTTCTCTTTAATGATGTAGTCTTAGGCAGGGTCTCATCCTGCAGTGTGCTCCGTCTTCTGCAACTTTAAATGCCGTTGTATGCAACCCATTGAACTCAGGATGAATAGGTACTGATTTATGGGGTGAGGCTTAAGGTGAGTTGGGACAAGCTAAAATGTTCCTATGTTTTTCTTCCCTCAAGACTGATTTCTGACTGACTGACTGAGGGAAGGCCAAACCTCTTTCCTTGTTGCAGGTTTTTTGGGATTCCTCATATTTCCTTTCCCTCCAGCCTTCCTGAATTTACAAGAACCTGTCAGGAGGGATGTTGAACCAGCTACTGTTTTCATGATTGAATTTGGCACTTTCTAAGTCTGCATTCTTTAAGGAAGAAATTAGTTCCTTCCTGTTAAACATGAACAAGAACAGCACTGTGGGGGAGAAACTGGGGGAATGCTCCCAAAGAGATGAGAAATGAACACTTGCTTTAGCAAGTCTCCTTATTAGATCCTGATGGCTTATTATGAAGCCATACAAATTTGCTGGAAACCAAAGAGCATTACTGTAATTTCTGGTTTGCATCTAAAAGAACAAAAATGCCCTCAATGTTAAAGCAAAGAAATACAACAAACTAAAGGCAAAAGAAAACATGTACTTAGAGCATTCACAGAAGAGATGATGTTAAGGCACAGGGAGAGAGGCAGTGTGCTGATTGTCATTAAGGAAAAACTCCTTAGGTGTTTCACAGACTAAATATAAGAAACTGCAGGGTATATACCATGGTAGTATTATCTAGATGCAGTGGGGAATTGAAATACTGCAGGAGCAATCAGTTACAAAAACAATAGAAACTTTTTTTTAAAAAAAAACAGCAGTTGTAGCTTGATCAGAAAAATCCTTTTCTCTCCAGGGAGGGTAAAGCAACCATTATCTGTACAGAATTTATTCTGAATTGGAAATAAGGGGTAGGGAGAACCCTGCAAAAATCCCAGTAGCTGCCTGCAGGCTGTACTGTATTAGTGATGGGCAGTCATATTTATAGAAAATGTTTCAGTTCTTTTGGGTTAGAGACTAATACACCACTGGGAGTAAATATTTTTATAGCAGGTGAAAGACAGGGTAGTTGATCTTTTCTAAATCTGATTTCTGTAATCTGAGAGTTAAGAGAGAAAGAGCACCATAGTAACTTGCATAACATCTTCCATTTTTTTAAAAAATAAATTTGTGTAATAATCTTTAAAGTGTTTTCTCAGTGTGAAATTTCATGCCAGGGTTTGCCCTTGTTCTTTTGTTCCATTCACATGTTTTTTGATTTCACATACGTGTGTTTCCATAAGCTCTGTCATATGACTGCAGCCATCCTCTCGGATATATTATAATTGCTAAGGTTAATTAATGAGTTTAAACTCATCTCATTGCTGAGCATTTTCTACAAACACATAGAAATTAAAAGAGCAGCAGCTTTCAGCCCCTAAGGCAAAGCACACTACATCTGCAATGGAAAAGATGCATGGCATATGCATATGGTCTACATGTTTAGGTAGTGTGGTTATAATAGGCTCTTCTGATACCTAACTGGTTTTCACATTTCTGAGAAAAAAAAAATTGACATCTCCCTTCCTGTTAACACTTATTTTTACAGAGAAGTGATGGGTACTGTAAACCCTAAGCAATGTTTCTGTCCATATTTTGGCAGAAGAGATTAATTTTCTTGGCATTAGATTTTGAAGAAATTCTTCTATATCTCACAATTCTTCCTTTCCCCCAGCCACTTTCATGGCACTGCAGTGGTTTGTACATCTCTGAGAGAACGTTTCTCTAAAATAGCAGGGGATTGTAGGGATTTCTCCTAGCTGTTTTCTAGTGAATTTATTTCAAAACTAGAAGCAATTTGTCACTATTTCAAGTTGACTAGTGTCTGTCCTGGTTTGGGGAGGCCAAGCTGTTATCTTTTAATCACACTTTTCCAGGCCATCTAGCTGTACCAGCCCAGGTGGAACTGGGGATGTTAAATATGGTGGCACGTTAGGGTTTTTAGACAAATCCAAAAAAAGATGGCTTTCAGCTGCCTTATGCAATTACTGTCTTCATGTTTGCCAAGATGCCACAAAGGAATAAAAATGGATGGTTGTGATTACATACTAAATTCATATTAGTCCCTCGTGCTTAGTATTATGTGCATATCTAACATTCTAAAATAGCTAGATAGTCCTATAGTATCTGTAAAATGCACATACATCAACCAAGTTGCCTGGATTCTCTATAGCTGCAGAATATGGACTTCTGTCTGGGCCAAACCCAGAATAGCCATTTCTGCCTGGTGAGGGTTGAAGGATCCCTCTCATTTTACCCTCGCAGCTATTTCTACCTGTTGAATTGGAAGGTCTCAGATGTGAAAAAGGCACCCATGTTTTTGGTTTTTTTTCTCACCTAAAGGCTGGATCTAAGTCATATTGGTCATCTATATAGGAGACTGATATGTTCCACTCTCTGAGTTAGGCTCATGTCAAAAGTGCTGTCCTGAAAAGCTGTCCTGGTACCTCCTTCTTTTCTGCACATTTATGTACTTACTCCTCACTACCAGGAGTAAGATAATTACAAAGACCTTAGTTAGGATGAATCTTTTGTTTCTTGGTATGTTCCTCACCTTCACAGTACTTGGCACTCTGCTAATTTGTTCAAGAAAGTAATCTGAAGACCAAGAAGTTTGTCAGCCATCTGATTTCTCACTGAGTTTCCTCTGGATACTCAGACCTTTTCTTAATATTTCATGCAGAAGCTGAGAATGAGACTTACTGATGAGAGGAATTAGATGTGTTTAAATAACGCATCTGGGACTGGCTTGTGAAAAATTTCATTATTGAGATGTTAAGATGATAAAAACTAGGGAGACTTCCTGGTCCTTTGTAGTGCTTTTAAATAAACTTCAACCAAAAATGGCTTCTTAAAAGTTGTGTTTCTTGGAATCAGAGAGCATTAAATTGTAATCTGCCAGAGGTCATTTATGCCATCTCTCTGCTCTGAGGCAGGTCAGGCCTGCCATTGAAAACTGCTACTGAGAGGGTTTCTGCAACCTTTCTAAATGGTATTAATCCAATTAATTTGTGTCCTGCCCAGTGCAGGTGCAGGAAGCAACCTATTGCTGCTTATTTTTATTTTATTTTTATTTTATTTTTATTTTATTTTTATTTTATTTTTATTTTATTTTTATTTTATTTTTATTTTATTTTTATTTTATTTTTATTTTATTTTTATTTTATTTTTATTTTATTTTTTTTATTTTTATTTTATTTTTATTTTATTTTTATTTTAATTTTATGTAAACCTTTCTCAATTTTGGGGGTTTTATCATTCTTTACGTCTTGGAATTAAACTTCCCTTATTCTTCTAGTCTTTTTTTTTTCTTATTGATTGCATTTTTTAAAACCTCTTTTATTTTGATTCCTCTTTTCTGGCTTCTTTTTAAGTTTTCTAGCTTCTCTTAAATTGTGGTAGATCAAACTAGAAGCTGTTTCCTAACAGATCTCAGTACATTGTGCACATCTTAATAAATGTAGTCATGAAAAGGAGAAAACCTTCCTAGAAACTTTAATTTTCATGGTGAATGTGGCTGAATTCACCTATGTTCCATATAGGTGGGACCTTACTGTCCTCCTTGGTATTTCCTGATTATATGAATTTAAGAATATGGTTTTGAGAGCTGGTATTTGTATGCAAATACATGCAGATACAGCACTAGAGTTTTGTTTTTTTTTTTTTTCTTTGGATATGTGAGATGTTTGGCATTAACAAAAATTGCGGAGACTGTACCTTGTGCACACTAGTGCCCTTTCTGGTCACTGACATTGCACAAAACTGCGGAGGTGCAGCCAGGAATTTGTTCAGCCTTGTTTGCTGCACTCTGCTGTCGCAAGAACCTAGATCCCTTTTCCGAATGCTGCAGAGGTCAACAAAAATGCTATCATAGGCAGCTGCTGCTGTGGACGCAAGGGCCTTCCTTGTGACAAGACTGATTTTTCCCAGCGCAGCGGAAGTTTATGGCAACCTGTAATGCAGCAGCCTAACAGTTTCTGCAGTAGCCCCTGGAAACAGCTGTAAAAATTGAACCGTAGCTCACTCCCCCAGCTCCTGCCTCTCACTGGTGTAGGAAATGGGCCTCTGAATTGTTAAGATAAAAAAACTGGATAAGCAACTAGTTGTTGGACTCAAGGCTTTCATGACTTACCCTGGCTGCCTGGAAGATGCATGCAGAATTGGAGTGCTACTGAGAGTTTAATGGAGAAGACTGTGAGGAAAATGATGCAGCTCTTCACAGGTGTAAGGCCTGTAGCAAAGGAACCCGTGTCTCCCTGGTACCAGGAGGAGAAATCATGATTATGAAACAACTCTCTGCACTGCTGCCTTCCCTCTTGCAGTGCTGGGGCCTCGTCCTCTGTGGGGGTGGGTGTCTGCAGAGCTGAAAGCAACCAGGAGTTGCTTGATGCTCCTCTTTAGGGTTAGCGTTTACTGAACATGCCATTGTGGGAATGGGAAGAGGCAGGAGCTGGCTCCTGAGCATGACACTTGCATTTCTACATTGTGTACTCTGTTTCTGTGCTGTGCTTTTTCAGTGTGCTGCAGAAAGACAATGAAACCAGCACATTCAAATGGGGATGTCTTAAAAGTTGGAGGAGAAATTTGGCTGTGGTAGAGTCCAAAACTTTTTTAAAAAACCTAACCCAGAACCCAAACAACACAAAAAAATAAAAGTCTTGTTGTGAAAAAATTCCAAATTCTACTTTTCTCTGAGAATCTTGGTTTCATTTTTGCTGTTTAAGTATCCTAAATATTCTTCATAATTTGATTTTAAAAGTTGGACAAATTTGAAATGAAAAATACTGGTTTGGCACCCATTTTTGGTGTAAATTCTATGTATTAAGCAGGTTTTTCCTGACTAATTTCTGGACCAGTGCATAGGCCTGGATACTGTTCTATTTTCATCTTCGTATTTACATCTTGTCTACAGTGCCTTCTCCTTGGTCTTTACTATGGAACACTTAGGACTGTTCATTGTCTGGAAGTTTCTCTCTACTTCTGTTCTTTTGGAGTCTTAGCTCTCTGCTTTCCAAAGTAAACTTGCTTAGTCACTTTCTCTTTATTATGTTAACACCTTGCCCACCACAAAAAGACTGTGAGCAGAACAGAGATGCACATATTTAAATAGACACTTAAATTTTTTCTCTGTTTTCTTGGTGAATATTGTATACTGAAGATGCCCTGCAGTGCAATATTAAAAATGCCAGACATGTAATGCTTGTGATGCTACAGAGAGTAACAGCCTGGAGCCTGCTACTGGTAAACAAGACAGAACAGAGTGAAAAACAGAACTTTAAATGGATAAAAAAGTCTTTGCTATAGACAATAATGGTCTCTTCCACAGCCTTTCAGACTGTCAGAAATGCCAAGTCTGTCTTTGGTTTTGCTTAACAAGTTCATTTCTGCAAAAGGCTTTATTTCTACATGTCACCACACTCTGGTACAAAAATGTCCTGTTGTGCTTATAGGTATGGTACAGTATGGAACATTTGTAGCTTGGTCTAGTATTTATACAGCATATTTACATATTATGACAACTTGCTTTTTTTAGAAAACAACAAAACCACCTGCAAACTTGCAGATTAAAAAAGACTTGAGTTTGAAGCCTGTCAATTCTGAATGTCATTTAAAATCTTGACTTTCTGTGCACAGGTGCAATCTTCCTCCTCTATCCAGTGAATACAGCAAGGATGTTGGATCAAAAACCCAGCTGGTGACTGCAAATCCCAGTATAATTCAGAAAAGGTAGAGAGCATCTTGTTCCTTCTCTGGTTGGGGGAAACACAAAGAAGAATGTTTCATGTATGTTATAGATATTAGTGCATCAGAGTTATGTTCTTAATGATCTTCTGATCCTGGAAAAGGTGAAATAGGCAATAGTTCGGTGTTAGTTGAAACAATTCAAGCCTACACCCCTGATCCTTTCATTGTAAGCAGGGAAACTAAGGGAAGCTGTCTTTTACAGTTGTTTCTTCTACCATACTCCCCTCTGTTCTTCCAGTTCCCTCCCTTTACCATTTAGTAAGCATGTGCCAGATGGGTTTTTACTCCCAAGTCAGGCACGTACTGATGGGTGGCCCAAACTACTCTGCTGGTCAGGCCAGCTGGCTGCTGCATCCCACAGTTAATGAAGATGCTAGTTTGAGTTTCTTTTTGTTTCGCCACTGATAACCTCTGGGTCCTTACTCTCTTTGTATTATTTGTTTGATATTGGTTTATGGGTACAAAAGTGGTTAGGATGGAACTGATTGGAAAGTTGTGATTATACAAGCCTCACTTTCTTAGGAAACTGGGACAAAATTTTGTTGTTTTTTATAGTTGGTTGAAATTTTCCAAATGTCAGTAGCTGATGGCGGGGGGGGGAAGTCAAAACCATCTCTCTGATTTTTTCCTTCCTGCATTTTAATTGCCATGTTATTTGTTTATCAGCCTGAGTGAGGTAGGCTTTTCTCACGGAGAACAAAATCTGGTAGTAACCTGCCATGTTCACTGAAAAACACAGAAAAGTCAAAAACTAGGGCGATGAACAGGAAATGATTAGGCATAAAGAAATATATAATGCCGGGTAATGGGAGGTGAAGGATTGTGAAAGGAAGCAAAGCAGGGAAATAAAATAAGAGAAAGCCAGGTGCTTTAGAAAGAAGAAAGGCACAGACTTGGAAAGGGATGTTTGATGGTATTTAAATGTAGTATTTTTCCTCTCTATCAGGAATTGAAGGCTTCTCGAGTTATGTGTGTGGAGAAGATGACAGTCTTTGACAGAGTAGAAAAGAGAGGGTGAGCAAGAGGGAAATGGAGTAGCAATCGGCTTCAAGAGCTGATTCCAGGCAGAGAGTCTGAATTGGAGAAGGTGTAGAAGTGCTTATGCAATGAGATAAAAGCAAACCAAACAGAAGTGGCAGAGGTTGGCACCAGGTGCCAGGCAAGAAGAGGGAGCTGCTCAGGCACTGGACCTGAAGATGTGGAATCTGAAAATCCCATGGGACATAGATGGCTAATGCAGTTGATTTCAGAAGTGGGATGAAATGGCCAGAACACCCCATCAAGGAAAGGTCAGTTTGGCCATGGCGTTTTGATAAAACGAAGAGGAGCAGTGTGAAACATGAAACTTACAAAGGATTTTACAGTTGTCAAGGCAGAGGATTATTAAACTCATGGATATTTATTTTGCATCCTCCTCTCCATCCAGGCCTAGAGTGGAAAGCTTGCTGTATTTAATATTTTTAAACAGAAGAGGAAAAGGAAAAAGAGTTTTAGTGATGCTACAGGGAGGTGCACTACAGATACTGTGGAGTTGTCCAGCAAGAAGGAAGGGAAGGAGTGAGCATATGGTAGAAGAAGCAGATGGAGAAAGTGAGATGCTACTTTGTGAGAGGGGGATATCACAAGGAGGAATGAAGGGGGAGGGAAATGGGAAGAAAGGGAGGAAGGAATAGACAGGCCACATGAAACAGGATTGTGTTCAGTATCAGTTTTCAAGGTGAGTGCATGACAACTGTGGTACAAGACGTTTGATAAGAAAGTAGTGTGGGATGTATATGCATGTGTATTGATTAGGAGGAGATATACAACCAGTAACTGCGAATTACACAGAAAACCAATTCATAGTGCTGAGAACTGGCAGAAACTTCCTCTGAGGCCTGGAGCTCTTGAGAGATCTGACACTGCTTCCTCTGTCTGATCAGGAAGAGATTTTTTTTTTTTTTTTTTTAATGATATTTTACTGATGTTTCCTGTCCAAGCTCATTATTTTACCTTCTGTGTGTTAAGTTACAGTTGGAAGAAAAAGGTTAAATCTTGGAAGTTAAAATAGAAGAAGAGACTACTACTCTGTCGACAAATAATCAATTTCTATGTAAAGAAGCTTTTTCTGTAAACTGTAAATCCAGACTTTCATGAAATTCAAGAACATTCAGATTGGTGATTTTTTTTTTTTTATATATATGTTTCTAAGCTGTAAGTTAACTAGCTTCACAGAATGGTATTATTTATCATTCTTCCCCCTTCCTCTTGTCCTTACTTTAAGTACATTGATATTGATGAGGCTTGACATCTCAATTATCTTTCAAGTGTGTTATGGCGGATTTAGTGAATCAGTCCTGAACACCATGGCTTCTAAAAGATTTATCCTTAACAGATAATTCATGATGAAGCATGTTAGATAGGGCAAAGTTTTCATACCAGGGGTGTGGAGGCAATTTTCTGTGTGGTTCTAAAACCAGAATTACTGCCTTTAGAAAACTAAATTGTTGGCAGTAATTACTGCAGAGTGATACCTGAGCTACCACTGTTTCCCTCTAGATTTACAGCTTTAGGATGGGAGAGTCAAGATTTTAATCTGGGAGTACACTGTCTTTAGAGATACCTTTTAAATACTGCCTTTTAAAAAACTTGAGATGCAGTTCCTACTCTGTTTTCAGCAGGAAATGTGACTGTGCAGATAGTGCAGATTTACTTGTAAAATATTGTGCTCAGTTCTCATTTGGGATTGAAAAATGTTGAGGAATTTCCTATCCTAACTTTGCTTCATATAATACAGGAGTACTGACAACAGATGTATTATGATAGAAATTTCCCCAGCTGACTAAGAGGGCTCGTGATGACTGCCCCAGTTTCTTTTTTTTGTCTAAAATATTTCACAGGCACCTTCCTTCAATTAATATTGGAACTCAGCAGTCCTTCGAGCCTGTGTAAAACTTCTTTTTCCACTTTGTATTCAAAATTTACTTCTCTATCAGACCCTTGTTTGTGTTTGCAGTTAGGATTGAAATGTTGCATAAAGCTACTCCTGGGACCACTGTGACCTCTCCCACCTTCTACCCCCCAATACTGCTGAGGGACTGCAAAAAGGTTGGTGTCTGATGTTTCCAGTTCATTCCCCTACCACTCTAGTCAGCTTGGCCTTATCTGTAGGGAACCACTTTGTAGGGAGTTTATTCTGTATTTGTCCTGGTTTTTATTTTCTTTCCATGAGTAGCTGCTATAAGTCCCTGCCAGGAAAGAGGCAGTGCAGTAGTGAGACCGGTGATGTGCCTACAGCCGTTCTTAAACTCTGGGTAAAAATCAACAAGGTTATGTCATTTACAGTGATTGTTTCTATATTCTGAAGACTTGTCTACCACTGTGGAGAGGAACTAGTCAGTGGATTGCACATCATAAAAACACTTAAATAGCTAGGGATGATTTTTGACCCACGGCATAAGATTTTTGACTAAGAAATGCAAAGAGTTACTATTTGGTATGTGGATTTTATGTGTTTCTGAAGTCACAGCCTCTGCTGTTTAAAAGAAGCAAATTCTAGCAGTTTCTTACCATCTTAAACAACTCTTGTAAATGTCATATAATAATACTCTTACCTTTTGTCTAAACTTTTGATAAATCTACAAACAAATGCCATTTGCATCAACCTTCCTTTCTTGTTGCCATGTCTGCTTGCTCTGTCTAACCCATGCACATATACGTTATTAATGTGAATATAGTAGTCCAAATAGATGGTTTTGCAGCATTCACTAAGTTTCAGATCAACTGATGTTTATCAGTGAGTATTTTATTCACAAGCTGTGCGAGCGTTTCTGATTTGTGTAGAAATAATGTCATTAGAAAATGGCATGATGACTGTGGTAGCATTCTTTATTTGCCATAATTCAGCATTGGCATAACCATCAGAAGCTCCCGAGGTGTGTGGCACACATTTCCAACACCATCTTTGAGATGTAATCTGGTAATCGGTTGAATTGTGCGAAGCTTTTCCCCCTTCTCATTTCAGGGTGCTGTATTTTCCCAGCACAGATGGTGCAGGAAGGAAGACATGTTGCACATGGGGGAGAGCAGGCAGCCGTGCCACCACTCTGGGCGTGACTGCTGCTGCTGCTCTCAGCTTGAGGAGCAGGTGGCAAAGAGGGATTCGGGGTCGCTGCCCTCACAATCCGCACTGTATGATGAGTAATTAGATCGGCTCCTTTCCAAGGAGAAACCCCTCCCTGCCTCTTTCTTGCCTCTGAAGCTGCCACCTGCACCCTCTGTGCTGGAAAGCACATCAGTCCATGACAGGAGCAGAACATGTAGTGATGCTGCTGGTCTAGCGGGAGAGGAGAGCCCTTCTGCTGAGGGAAAGAACCAAGCTGCCCTTCCCCACCTCCGTCTCTCCTATGCAGCTGCCTTAGTGTGCACAGAGGCCACAGGGCTGGGCTCTGAGGCAGGGCTCTGAGGCAGATCTCTGCTGCCACTGTTTGATATCTTCTCCCCTCAACAACACAGATCCACTTGGATAAGGACCAAGTCATTCCTGTATGTGTTTAGGGCTTTGGATGTTACTGTGATTAGATTCATTATGAAAATTTCTGTGAAATATCTGCGCTGTAGCAACAGGGTGAGGGTTTGGGTGATCCATGTTCCTGCTACTACAGCGTTTGTACTAGAGCATGTCTTGTTGTTTTGAGCACAGAAGTGAAGGGTTAATGGAGGTGGTATCAATCTTCATTCTTTCAAATGTGGTTATTTTTGTTTAAGTCTTTATAGCAAAGCCTCTCAACATTTGTTTAACATTGTCAGTGGAAACAGTCTGGCTGAAACTTGGATAACCAGATTTAGGATCAGCCATTACATTGCAGCTCAGTATGAACTTCTATCACTGAATGTGAATTTTTTTTTTTTTCCAGTAAATTCATTTACTTTTTTGATCTCTGAGATGTTTGACAAGGTTTTGCAGCATCCAGTTTTCTGCACTAAAGCAAAATGAAGGGATG